TCTATAATGCGAACGCTTCTTGGTAGGTATGAGACCGATATATCAAAATATAACTAATAACGTTATGTTATCAAATATCATATCGATAAACCTAAGTAAAAAACCGTTATCACATATCCAACCAAAACCATATATACCCAAAACGAAATCGAAACGCATAACGCAACTGTGGGACGATCTCCCAAAACGGAAAATAGCCAACTAACCGATGACCTTCGTTGATATTCGTCGCTTCTCGTCCTTGCAACGATAGTTTAAATAAGTATAGAAAGAGATGAAGCGAATATGGATATCGTTGCGATGTTTTGGTAGTTATCACACAACGGTGCACATTGCGAAATATAATATGTAGCTAAAGCAATAAGGTCGAATTTTAAATAGTTAAAATTGCCTAAATTTTAAGTTTGTGTAGATTTGAGAGTTATCAAATTTCAAATAATCATTAGCTCATTAAGCACAAAGCTTAGATTTGTAAAACGTAAAACGCAAAAACTGGAACGATATGCCAACACGGTCCACGAACTAAACCGATGCGATGTCCTTTGTTGATATTCATTGTTTCTTGTTCTTGCGACGGTATCATAAATTCGTATAGAAAGAAAGGATTTCTGTTTCGGTAGTTTTAGTTTCACACGGTACACAATGTACATCTGGATATAATTACCGAAAAAAGGTCGAATTTCAAATGGTTAAAATTGCCTAATTTTTACGCTTGTGTAGTTGTGGGAGTTGTCAAATTTAAATGACTTTTAGGACAATAGACATAAGACTTGCATTTGTATTTGTATGTTTTTTATATTTTGGATGGAAAGTTTAGAATTTGCTTTTTTCTAAAACGTAACAAATACGCACTTGGTCTTGGTGGTTCGTGTGCGTACCGTTCGTTAAGATAATAACATCCATTAAATTATTAATTTTTGGCGTTGCGTTTGTGCATTTATTTGCAATATGTGTGTGTATTTTGTGCATTACGAAGTTGTAATTCAGACAATTATGTGTAAAGTGTAATTATAATGTAGCATAATATAGTTTGTTGATTTAGACTTTTAATCATTTTTGAATATAGACTTTCAAAATGTCGCGTAAGGCTAGTGCAATATGGTCTCACTTCGATAAAAAAGACAATTCCTGGAATACTCACTTTGTGCTTTGTGGCATTTCATGCCATATAAGCCCTTCATTGTCGGGTGAAAATAGCGAACAAAAATGTGGTCAATTTTTCACGGTGGTAATTTACTGTCCATTTGCGAAAATTTCGTTGAAATATTACTAAACGTTTTAGGTATCTTTTTCATAATAGGTATGTAGTATAAAGAAACCATCTACTAATAAAACATCAGTATAATTTGGTGGATCATGGTTAATATTCACTTCAAAACATTTAGAAAGTACTGATTAAACTGTTTTACAAATCGACATTCCTTATTATCACATCACAACATTAAAACACAAATAAATATTGACTCTGGTGTGCTTATTGGACATTTATTATTTTATAGTCCGTAATTATTATTAATTACAATCAATATGAAATGACAACATTTACTTTCATTTCATATAAAAAATTTTGATTGGATGATCCCTGGATTAGTTTAAAGTTTTATGATTATTATTTTCACTCTTAGCCCAAGGTAGTCTGAAAGAGATTGCTTTTTGTACGTAGTACTTTTTATTGCTAAGCAATAAGCCTTAGCTCGTTGCGGTTCTATAGTTGGAATAGCCTCAAAGTACGAAACGGTCACCCATCCAATTGCAAGCTAACGCGTGCATTGTTTAACCTTTGTTATGGATAAAGTTGGGCGTTATAACATACAACAGATAATATATTTCATTATATATTTGTAATCTTACAACACATTAGAATAATGAACCATTGACTGTTATAACTTAATAATATATTCATTATCGTTAGAAAACGTCATCTGTTTACGTTTACGGTCCAGCCGTCGGCCGAGACGCGGTACGTCAATGGGAGTTAATAAAATACTACATTCATTATGACACAAGGATTGCGTATAGCTTACACTAATTTAAACTCTAAGCTAACTTAATATGAGCTTATTTTACTAACACTAAATTATAACGGTAAACAAAAATATATTATTTCTTTCATTGCTAGCTGTTGCCTGTTGTGCCTGTTATTTAATTTTTTGGCTGTTGTAATATATTAGTGTTCAGTTAGCAGTCTAGCTGAGATAACAATGACACTGTTATCTGTTAAATTATATACGTAATGTTTTGATAGCAGGTCCCCATATTACGTGAAAAAGCTATTGTTGTTTTTGTTTATTTTTCATTAAGTTTTATTCCTAAAGTAATTTTAAATATTTAGTGTAATATAGGTAGGATTTAGCGTGTTGTATGTAAAAGTGTATAATAAGACATTATTATACACTTTTACGCGTCAGCGAAGCGCAGCCATTTGGAACTATTTTAAGCCTAAGTCCAAAGTGTGGACGAAAAAAAAGCAGTGTGCAAATAAAAAAAAATTATCTTTCAAAAGTACAATTACAAATTTAAAGCTTCACCTTAAGCAAAGACACGTAGGAGTGTATGAAGAGTTTTGCCGTTCGGATTTAATATCGGATAGACTCACAAGGCTTAAGTCGTCAAAAGTAAACCAAATAATGTTTTTTGAGTAGTAACTTTGACCATTTCTTTGTTTAAATAATGTAAAAATTCAATCAAAATGTACATAACATCAATAAGCTTCTAACTACGCCTGAATGAGTTATTTTTCTTAAAATGTTTGAAAATATGAGTAAATAATTATAACAGATACAATAATTACACAGCTTAACATACATTCAGACAGTCCTAAGCCTGTAAAAAGTTGGAAGGGAAGTTCATTAAACTTAACATACATATTTTAAATGATTCTCTTTTAAAACATGAAACACTCAAATGATGCTAATACAACTTAAAAATATTTTTTTTGTCTTCATATAATATTTATAATCATTTAATATTTATAATATTTATAATCGTTATAACAACATACAAAAAAATGCTAACACAGCCAACAACTGAACTGAACTAACCGCGTGCACAATGTAATATTTGAAACTGTTATAATATATTATAACAGTTTAAAATAACAGAAAAATATATTACAACAACATAACGAATTAGAAAAATATAACAGTTTCGCCCACCTTTAGTTATGGATCGCGCCCGCAAAGTACCACTAGGCTGAGGCCATTTCAAATTAAGTAAAATTAAAAAAAATCAAAATAAAAAAACAAATAAAAATCCTTTATTTTAGCGAAAAAAATGTCGAAACTTTTTTTATAATTACATTCCAATGTTAATTAAAAATATAAAAAAGCAAAGAAATATACCTTATTTGTATTTCATTTTGATTTTATGTCCATGATTACAATTATCAAAGAAGTCACCACAGGGCATATCCATACTAGCATAGCTGGGTACTGCGTCATACTTGGTACTTTTTGTAGTGAAAATGTAACTTTTAGTTGTTGATTTCCAACATAATTTTGTATAAAAGATTCCTTTTTGGTTTTGTTTTTAACTTAGGAAATGTTAATAAATTTAGGAATATACATTCACATGTAAATAAATTACAAAATTGTTAGTTATAAATGCAAAAGTTTGAGAGCATTTTTTTAGGGTCACTTTTTCAAGTGTTTGTTACAATACGTTCATTTCTCAATAACTATATAGGTGTAACATTTGAAACTGTTTATGATAAGAAAAAAGACCAAACTATAGAATAAGTTAAGAATTAAAACCCATTGTGCCTCAGGCGTCGTCGGTATTGAATTACAAAATATGCCTTTTTTTGTTCCTGTTTCGGGTCATCTTAAGTGGCCCACATTATTGTCGAGTTTGTGGTGTAAAAAAACTGTACGCAGAGTTGGGTTTTTATTATTCATTATTGTAAAGTGTGTTATCTTATAGTAAATAAAATAAATATTTACTGAAATAATTGCTTTGTTTTTTAATGATTACATTTTTTATTCAACAAACTGGAAAAAAATCGCTTCTAGCAATTTTACTATCGAATTTATAAAGTATCAAAAGGGTGAACGTACACATTTACACATATTCTATTAGCTTACTTAACAATAATTCTATCAAGATATTATTTTATATAGTTTCGATACATAAATCTTAAGATATTGCCGTTTTAATGACACATGCCACGTATGCAATATATCACTCGCTTAGGGTTTGACAAATGCGCCAAAGCGGCTATTTCGGCCGGGACTGTTGAGAGGATAAAATGCACAGTCGAATGCACTCTGCGATGAAGTTTTCTATGCTCAAGATCGCTCAGTAATTTATTTTCATAACCTTCAAGCAAACAATAAACTCGTTATGATAAGCTCAGAAAAGCAGTTAAATATAATTGAATTGTGTAGATATTTACATATTGTTTCAAGATTATGTGGCTATAGACAGCAAGAGAAAAAAATATATTTGAATATCAATTTACGTAGAATAGTTACTAGGCGACAACCGACAACTACACTACAGAATAACGAAGCGAAAGCAGTGACAACTGTTACATTACTGTTTACACTTAATAGTTATATTTGACGAACCATATTCATATTTTTTTAGGTAATTGACGCGTTCAGGAATTCTGAATAATTCAAAATTTTAAACCTTTAATAGGAGATGCAAGATTTAGTTGATATTGATTTCACGGGTTCTCATTGTTTACAAGTTCTTATTTATCGATTATGGGTTCATTGATATCGGTGGTTCGATGTTTGACAAGTGGCAACATCGATGTTTTAATTTTAACATTGATGATCATCGAACATCCCTAAGTCTCTAGTATATATTGGTATCATAGATTACTGTGTATATACTAGAGATTAGAGCAGATTAGAGAATTGGTATATATTCAGTAATCTATGGTCGTATCGTATTCTACAACAACAAACAAAATAAAAATTATCAAAAATTGCGTATAAAATACTTATGAAGTTAAATTCATCAGGAAAGTAGTTATCATGCCCGTTATAGAAATGAATGTGGTCGAAAGTGATGAGGATTACATTATTTCAAGGGCCAAAGAGGCACAAAAGTCTAACATACATTCTGCTAAAGCGTGGATGCTTACGGCAAAAACATTATTTCCAACGAACTTTAAAATCCAGTTTGAAGCATATGTAATGGAAAAACAATCAGGAAATGTCCAAGAAGCAGCCGAATGTTTTAGTTCATTAATGATGTCAAGACAAAATCTTCCCGATTTATTACCAGAGATACAATCGATAGCTAATTCTCTTAAGTCCATTGAACCTAGCTTCTTGAGTCAGATGTTTGATTTTATAAGCCCAGATATGCAATTGACGATTCTTAAAACAAGCGTTGAAAACAGTGATGATACTATGGAACATTGCCGATTGTTAGTTCTTCTACTTAAGAAATTTCCACAATTAGGTGTGGATAGTCTTGTAAAAACATTAATTAATGCAGAAAAATTCTTTTATGATAATAGATATGCACGTTTGTTAGTTGTAGAAACTTTACCTCTTCTTAGTTCATTGGAATCTCCGAGGTTATTACAACGTCTTTTAGTTAAAGCTATAGATTTCTACAATTCTTATATGTATGATGAAACTGAAAATGATATCTCAGACCCTTGGCAAAGGCTTTATGGTGTCTTGGATTTATTGGGGAGGCAGCTTGGTTGGGATACATATTTAGTTAATTATAGTAATAGTTTAAATAAAGAATCATACTTTCAGAAACTAATGAGTCTAAGAACGTGTGAAGATTGTCGTCAATTGTTGTATTGTGGTACAACATTTTTTTTGAGGTCTCTGTATGAACAAAAGTCATTGAAAGGCAATCATATTCTTGTTGAAGCATTATCTGACCCAGATCAACCACCATCAAAGAGGAGAAAGGGGGAAATTGAAGTTACAGGAATATCAGCAGCTCAATTTCAAGCAGCTGCAAATTGCTGGGAACTATTACATAGCAATGAAGTAATAGCAAGAGAGTTTATGAAGTTAGTTACTCAGCTTCAAGTAAAACCATGGACTGAGGGCTTTACTGAAGAAATTGCCCTTTTTAGGGGAAGATATGAAGACACTACTCCTCCTGCAACTGCCACTAATTTAACTGCTAATATTATAAGAGCATCTATTAATTTTGCCCAGAAAAAGTTTCAAGCATGTATTGAAGCAATTTTAGCTGCTATACCACAGTTGCCAGCTGCAGAAGGTGTTCTAGAATCAGACCTTATTGTTGGTGGTAAACACAGGCATTTACACTTTTTACCTTTAACAAAAGTTGCTATAATGCATTATTTTTGTACTTTGCTTATTAGAATTTTACTAAGTACTGGAAATAATGCTGACTTAACTTATGGCCATATGTTGGTACTCATGCAGCTTGGTTGGCCTCAAGAAGAGGCAATATTTATCCATATTTTAGATGTAATCAAACAAAAAGGAGTTTTTCATTACCATCTTTTTTCCGCCTATATAATTCACATTGATTTTTTGGAAGAACTAAGTTTTATTTGGAATGAACAAGGTAAAAATATTGCTTTAGATATACTTCCAAATTCTCAACAACATTTGGGGCAAAGAAGAATCGGTACTCGTGGTGCTGATAAAGGTGTAAAAGAGGACTTTAAACAGGCTATGAAAGCTCAAGTTGCACGATGTAATGAATCTATACTAAATTTAATAATACAATTTATTACTTCTGAAAGATCCTACCTTTTGCAGATCCTATAAATTCATATTTTATTTAACTGAAGAAATAAAACAGTGAGAATATAATGTGTACTTTATTGTTACAGCAGATGAAATTTTAATTAAGTCTAAGAACTCCCTTCATATGTACCCACTCCAAGTAAGAGGTTGCGTCGTGTAAAATGTAAACTTTTTATAGGCGAATTTTTTGTAGCAAATGAACGTAATAAAAATTTTTCTTCTTTTGGCACTGAAGTGTTACTTCCAGTTTCTTCAGAAGGTGTTTCATCTGTTATTAATGCAAAATCCCATAGTTTTATACTGCAGTCCAATGAACCTAGAAACAATAATAAGGAAATTAGAGTTAAAAAGTAAATACATTTTAATTATGAGCTGTAATGATTCTAGCAAGAATAATAGGTCAAGTTTATGAAATTACATTGTCATCAGCTCCTAATGTCCGCAAAATTTCAGATTATTGCAACATCTGCTAGTGGATAGAAACTGAATTAAAAAAATCCCATGTCATTTACATATACTAGGTACTATTATATCAGTATTCACATATACTGGTACTAGGCTACCTACTATGTAACCTAACATATAAAATGGTTATTCATTTTTTAAAATAAACTTGCCGCAGCGCCCATGTTTTGTGTATTCCTCAAATAATAATACTCACTCCTGCCAGTTGTCGTTATGTTGGTGGGCTACGTATGCAGCCCGTGCAAGCATTCATGAAAGCTTTTCTAATTAGTAAACAAATGTAAAACTAAGGTAAATACAGTATAATTCTTGTTGTCGTCTTTAAAATGTCCAAACGATTGAATGTCTTGTTTGTATTTATGGATACTTCATGTATTTATTTGTATGCATTTATTAAATTTTGGTATTTTTAGATGGTGAGTTATTTAAATAAATTATGTAAACAAATACAAAGATGGTGCTAGTGTATGACAGTTTGAGTGAGAATGAGGAGGAAGGGTTTGCCGAACAAAGTTTCGAAGAACAGCAAGGATCACCTCACCAGTTTGAAACGGAACAAGAAGGCGAAGAGAATGATGATATTCCTCTGCTTCGTAATATTACAAGATAGAGTTGGTTTCCACCTCCTACTTAAACAAAAGGATCTCATAACATTTTAGCATGTGTACCATATGGCAAAACGACTCATATTAATCCTGCTATTTTTAAATGCTAATGTTTGGTATGATCTCGTTGATTCAACAAACATTTATGTTGATATCCATTATCCAATGATATTGTGATAATATCGTTGGCTGAACAATTGGCTGAACAACCTGTACAATATAACATGTCTATTAGCGGAAGTATTGGTCGTTGCTTTTTTGCAGTAGGGCTTGCGATCGCAGTATGCGCAAATTATGGAGCAAATGCATACGACGCATTTATAGCGATTATCATGCAGTCGTGTGTCCTGAATGCGTAGCAATAGAGAAGCGAATTGACTGTTGGTTCAATTTTATTTTTAATATTTAAAAAAAAATCAAATATGAACATTTTGTTGTTTTTTTTAATTGTTTTTAGGAAAGCATATGATTTGCATGTGGGCTACGCTTGTAGTCCGCGCGTGCGTTCTAGGAGTATTTTTATTTATGCATGTGTTTTTGTGTGTATATGTCATTTATATTTATAAAAGATGTCGAGTTAGTTACTCATACTCATCTGTCAACGCACGGTTTAAACTACTAGACCTAGAAATCTGAAATTTGGACAGTACGAGGGCGGTGAATAAGTTCGCGGAATGGAGGGGTTGGAGACGGAAGGGTAATTTTTTTTAACCGTCACTACATAATGACTTAATACAACTATAAATACCAAGTTTCAGCTAGATCGGTTGATTAACCGTTGTAATATCACAGGACAAAAAAGTCAATCGAGACGTGTACACTAACTATGGAGAAAGTAAGTTTCGTGCCGTGATTAAGTTCCTCACTTAACATGGAAAAACGCCACATATCATTATGGGAGAGATGTCATGTGTGGAAAAAACGGATAGGATGACAAACGAGTACACAGTCCACCTGATGGTAAGTGGTCGCTGTGGCCCATAGACACCTACATGTATCCTCGATTACAAATCAAAATGCAGATGCGTTGTCACCCGTGAGGACTAAGATGGAATGGCTCATTTCCAGTAAAAAGGGTCTCCGGTTCTCTACACTCACCATACGAAACACAGCAGCATTAAGCTACTATTTTACGCTGGTATTCTGTTAAATGATGATTTATAAGTGGCATTGGCTTTTCAAGCAAGGCAGAAACTCAATTGAAGAAGATCAGCATTTAGGCCGACCGATTGAGGCAACTTCCTCAGACATTATCGAAAAAGTGAAAGAACTTGTTTTTGAAGATGTTCGTCTGAAAAAAAAAACAGATCGCAGAAATTACTGTAGTAACATCTAAGAACATTCTAAACATTCACCATGACCATCTTGGCATGTCCAAGGTCATTGCAAAATGGTGCCAAGAATGCTCACACCACTTCAAAAACAGCTACGGTCGAGTGTTCGCGCGAGTTTTTGGACCTGTGTAATGGAGAACAGGGACGAAATTTTTAAAATGGATAAAAATTGGATTCATCACTATGAAAGTGAGTCAGAACAGAAGTCCATATAGTGGAATAAACAGACGTAGCTCCGCCTAAGAAGTTCAAGGTGTCACAATCGGCTGGATAGACCATGGTTTCAGTTTATTGACATTCAGAGGGTATTTTATTGATCGATTATAAAGACGAAGGTGTCAATGTCACGGAATAGTATGGTTACGAGCTTAAGTTTCGTGACAATAAAAACTGCCGATAGAATTACCAATTAAAACTTAATAGACACCAATAATTAATCAAGCCGAAGCTTCGCTTGTATCGCCAAATTCAATACTGCCCTGATCGCGGCTTACAACGGCTTTAAATAGGGCTCTTCTCTAAAAAGCTTAGTTCCTCTGTTCGATAATAGATGGCGCTAGTGCCATCAACTGTGGCACGCAACGCTGCCTCCTCCTAAGACATGCTCGTCCCAAGCATTATCAATACCATAATAATGCGCCAGTCGATCCACATGGACGATCTTAGGAGTACCTCTCGCGAACTGTAGCTGCTGCAACCTCCCTGACACGATGATCCTGCCGCACGGGTTCCACCTCCAGTGCAAGGGCCAAGGCGTCCTTAAGCGTCTCGTGGTTCCCGAGCCTCACAGCAGCTCTGACTTCAAGGTCACGGATGCCGTCGATGAATGTATGCACCAGGTTCCCTTCGATGAGCGCAGGTACAGACCGGTATGCTTTACGCACCAGCTTCTCCACCTCTAGAGCCCACTGCTGCAGGTTTACCTTGATGCACAGCACGTGATCTTTAAGCTGCGCACGAAAGACGTGTTCCAGGTGAGCGTCACCATATCTCGCCTTCAATGCCTCAAGGAGCTGCTCATAAGTCACTTCCTCACCGAGAGCTTCCAGAACAGTTAAGGCCTGGTCTCGCAGGCCTAGTGTGAGAGCAGTCATGGCCTGACTTTTATTCCAGCCGTTCGCCTTCATAACGGCTTCGAACTGGATTTTGTAGGCCGACCAGGAAGAAATCCCGTCAAACGGCGGCACTTTGTCCACGTAGCGAAGGTGTTGTAGCTACTAGGGGGCCGTAATTCCATTCCCAAGTTTGAGGTCATCCAGCGTTTTCTTCACGTCAGCCATGTCGTTGTCAAACCGATTGTTCACTTGGTCAATTCGGGTTTCAGCTTTCTCGATTCGGGTTTCAGCTTCCACGATTCGGGTTTCAGCTTCCGACAGGCGGTTGTCATATTGAGTAACCCTATCCTTCACTTCTTTTATCTCTTTGCCAAAGGTAGCGTGAAGGTCCTTCATGAGGAGCATCTGCTCCTCCAACCGACGGGCTTGTTCCTCTTGTCCGCCCCGCAGCTGCTCTTCTAATCGGCGCCTGCTACTCCTGTCGACGGGCCTGTTCCTCCTGTCCGCCCCGCAGCTGCTGCTGCAGCATCACCATCAGAGCACCTAAGTCAAGTGCTACAGACGTTGGAGCTGCTGATGGGCCGGCCTCCGTGGGCGGCGGCTGGCCCTCAGACGTCTGCGGCGTTACACCACGAAATCGTCTCTGGTCCGTCTCCTGCTGGCATTGACTTCGGGTACGGACACCCTCCATTTCGTCCTTAGGTAAAATCGGCATTACTTGATCCCAATTCTGACACCAATTGTTACGAGCTTAAGGTTCGTGACAATAAAAACTGCCGATCGAATTACTAATTAAAACTTAAAAGACACCAATAACACTGGTCGGCAAAAAAAAAAAATCCGGGAGCAAAAAGTTTACTATGTGATTTCTATTGGCTTTGATTTGTTGAGTCCAAATCTGTTTAAAGATTTCATCTATCACCTCTAGCTTTTCAAATATTTACATGTAAATAAAATATCGGTATTGATATATATATATATTAAATATGTATATATTTTAAAACTAAAAAAATTACACTGATTGATGACTTTTACAACACAAATTAAAATGAAATATGAATTAAAAAATATAAAAAAAAAACATTAAAATGATAACTATTTGGTAGATCGCTTTTTTTTATACATTTTAACTGCTGTTTCTCGATTTATTTCCCAGCAAAAATCAGCTAGCATTGCTGGGGTCCACTTGCCGCTGTATCTTTTTTCCATATGTGCAATGTCTTGGTGGAATCTTTCACCATGCTCATCAGACACGGCACCAAGATTTTCTGGGAAAAAAATCTAAATGCGAATGCAAGAAGTGAATTTTTTAAGACATATTGCATCCAAGTTGATGATACGACGAAAGCAGTTCTTCTATCAGCTCTGTGTAATTTTCAGCCTTTTTATTGCCAAGAAAATTGTGACATACATTTTCAAAAGCTACCCATGCTCTTCTTTCTTTATCTACCAACTTTGATTTGAACAGTAGGTCTTTAAAGATTTTTCTTATTTCAGGGCCAATAAATATGCCCTCTTTTAATTTCGCGTCGCTTTTATGAGGAAATTTAGTTTTTAGATAT